TTGTTACAGCACTGACATTTTATTCTTAAAAACAAAAACCAAACCAAAAAAAGACACAGTTTATTGGAGCTGGAGAGTTGACTTGGTGGTTGAGAGCACCTGGCTACTCTAGTCCTAGAGGACTCAGGTTCAATTTCCAGCATCTACATGGCTGCTTACCATTGTCTGTAACTCCAGTTGTAGGGGATCGATGCCCCCTTCTGGCCTCTTTGGGGATACGTGTGGTGAACAGGCATACATGCACACAGAATACTCATATATGCACAAAAAAATGATAAATACTAAAAAAAGCCACTTTATTTTATAATTTTTATTTATACGATTGCACCAGCTACAAACCACTTTATTTTGTAATTTTTATTTATACGTACGCATCTGTGTGAGTAAAGGCCACTTGTATATAAGTACCTGCGGAGGCCGGAAGAGGGCGTTAGATAATTTGGGACTGGAATTACAAGTTTTGAATTTGCTGGGGGCTGTATGTTCTCTGAAAAAGAACACACATTTTTCACTGCTGAGCCAACTCTGTAGCCCACCCTTCCTTCTTTCCTTTCTACCTTCATTCTGTCTCTCACAACTTTGAGAAATCTTTGTGTGTGTGTGTTAGAGAGAGTGTGCGTGTATGTGTGTATGTGAGTGTATGTTAGACTGTTGTGTGTATGTTAGTGTGTATGTGTGTATTTTAGAGTGTGTGTATGTTAGAGTGTGTGTGTATGTATGTGTGTGTATGTTAGAGTGTGTGTCTGCTAGAGTGTAATGTGTATGTTAGAGTATGTGTGTATGTTAGAATGTGAGTATGATAGAACATTACTGTAATGACAGTTGGAGGTCAGAGGACAGCCTCAGGCATTGGCTTTCACTGTCTACATTGTTTGAGATGAGGTCCCTTTTGTAGTTGGAAGTGTTTCTGTTTCACCCAGGCCGGATGGACCAGTTTCTCTCCTGCCTGCTGGGTTCCTGCATTCTCTTAAGAAATAAGAACTGAGGCTTAATATCTATTACAATTGTTTGGCCAATGGCTGAGACATATTACTGTCTAGTTCTCATATAAGTGAACCCATTTCTATTAATCTGTGTATTGCCACAAATACCGGTAATCCTCCAGCATGTTACTCCTTCATCAGCTACATGGCGTCTCCCTGACCCCACCTTCCTTCTCTCCATAACTGTTTGGATTTCCTGGCTTGCTATATTTTGCCTGGCCATTGGTCAAGACAGTTTTATTCATCAATCAATAAGAGCAACACATATTCACAGCACACAGAAGGACATTCCACATTACCCTTTGCCTTGTATACCAGAGTAGCTGACCCTTGAAGTTTGGGGATTCTCTTGTCTGCTCCTCCCATCTTGCCGTAGGAACACTGGGAGTTTAGATACGTGCCACTATGCTTGGTTTTATGTGAGTTCTGGGGATTAGAACCCAAAGCTCTGTGCTTGTGTGATAAGTTCTTTATCTACTAAGCTATATCCCTAACCTCCATTGAGGTTTCCTTAGGGAAAGACCTTTTGCCTGTTGGAGTGGTCTTTAGTGTTGTAGTGGTCACCTTCTCCCCTTATCACTACTGCACTTGCTTGGTGAGTGTGTGTGTGTGTGTGTGTGTGTGTGTGTGTGTGTGTGTGTGTGTGCGTGTGCGTGTGTGTGTCCATGTGCATAAGCATGTGTGTTTAATGAAATGGTTAAAAATTTCTTTCTTATCTTTCTGTGTAGAAACTTCCTGTTACTTCCTAACTCAAGGGAAAGGCAAGAACAAAAATCTGCTTTTACTATTTCTCCTCAAAATGAGGCGGCGTGTCTTGAATTTCTAGTGATGTGCGTACTCTTTCTGGGACCAACGTCTCCTTTCTTGAGATCTGATAAAGCAACCTGTAAATTGCAAGGCCTTAAGTGTCTTCTTCATTCACTGTCGCTTTAGCCTGCCTTTGTCTTCTTCAAGCATGATGGGTCACTTTAGATCGATCTTAACATTCTTTCAAGGATTTCAGACTATTTTTATGCTTTAAGACATGTATGGTTCCCTTTCATGTTCAGGGTTTTGCAGTGCTCTGGTACAAGCTTCCTGGAAATGTAAGTAGTCGTGTCATTTCAAGATGGCCTCTTGCTTAGAACCTTAGCTGCTTCAGAAATCCAGCTCATGAATCGTTTGACTGCACGGCACTTGCTGCTAAATGTCTGAGAAGCAATCAATGTGCTAAGTCCAATGTGGATTTTACAGATGCCAATTGTACTGTTCTCTGACACTTTGAAAAAAATGTCACAGGATTCCAAATCTGAATTTTAAAACTAGCTCATTCCATGATTAGCTGTAGCTGTTTTCTGTGTGCATGTCAGTTCTCTTTGATGGTGCTTCAGTTATGTGTCGGATGGACCTTTGTAGAAGTCCTAGGATAATCCATGACATCAAAAGGGCTTTCGATCCTAGAGGAGAGGGCTGTAGCTCAGTGATGGAGTGCTGGCCTAGCTTGTGCAAGGCTTTGGTCTCCAGCTTGATGGTATTGTATTTCCAGATATTGAAAGGCTAAGGAAAGAGAATCATGAGTTCAAGGCCAGGTTGGGCTTAATAATGAGTTAAAGCATGGGACCTAACAAACACACAAAGAAGCAATCAGAAAACACTCAGTGTGGCCGGGCATTTCCTGTGGAATGCCTCTGTTAGAGTGGTATATCAGGACCATTTCTCCAGCTGAGTTTTTTCATTAAAAAAAAGTATGCTTTGATTATTTTAAATTAAGTTAAAAATTATTCTCTCCTTTCCTCCCATTAACTCTTTCACATACACCCTTCAACCCCAACTTCCTCTCAAATTCATTGCCTCTTTTTCTTTGTTATTTGTTACATATATGCATGAGTGCTCTCTCTCTCTGTGCATACAAACATATACATGGACTGCTAAGTCCATGTAGTGTTGCTTGTATGTGTATGATTACAGAGCTGACCAATTGGAATAGGATAACCACTTAGAACCTCATCCCTAGGGAAGACTATTTATCATGGTATCAGAAGCTCTCAGTAGCCTGTCTTTCTTTGTCTAGGGGTGCAGTGACATTTACTTCTAGTGCATCTAGTATATCAGATGATTCTAAAACTAGGCATAATTCTTTACCCACTCAATAAAATTTAGTCATCTCACAGAACAAAACTAAAATACTTATGTGTATGTTCGGGTTTATCTGTGAGATGTGGGGATTTTCAAAAGTTGTATTTTGTGGCTACTTAGGTTTATAAACCTGTCATCTTCTTTCTCCTGTATTTGAAAAGAAATTGGGAAACCAAGTTTGGCAAAGGAAAAGGGCTATGTTTGCAGTCTGTCTATCAGTAGGTAGGGATGCCTAATTTCCTCCTTATCTTACCCTTGACTATCTTGCAATTTATAAGAAGCCACTAGAAGAGGGCTAATTTATGAGATGTGCTAATCAGTTCCTGGAGGAAGGGACCCAGACCCCAGGCTCTCTCAGGTTTTGGTTAGGATGTCATCTTTTTATTTAATCCCTGGCCAAAGAAAATAGAGTCTTAGAGATACTTCATTTTGAAGGAGAAAGGAATCTAGGGATTTGTGGTTCATAAGATCCTCTATATACCCAGAGTGCCAGTGTTTATCAGCTTGGCAGAATTCTTTGTCCATTCCTTTGCTGTAGTCCATTCACATGGAGGAGAAGAAAAAAGAGAAAGACAGCTGACGACCCGATAGCATAGGGAGGCGCATACGTCTGTCTTTAAAATATCTTTTTCCCTGCCAAGTCTTCGGCCTAAGATCAAGGTTAAAAAACACATGAAGCACATGTTCTTTTGTGTCATTGTACTCATCAGCTGTCATTTGTCACTCATCTATTTCCAGTCCTTGTGTTGTGGTTGCCCCCGGATTATCTTGTCCCAGACATCATTTCATTTTACTCATAACTCCCACATCTCCTTTTAAAGTTCTTAGTGGTAAACAGACATTTGAAACTAGAAATTGTTAAGTTCACTTCTTTTGTTTGGTTCTGAAATTGGGATAGTCCCCATCTTTTTCCCTTCCTGTTAAGTTCAGTGTGCCTGGGTTAATTTGTGTCTCTCTTTAACTTTCTCATAGTCCTCATATTGTTATGATTACAGACAGTCATTTACTGGTCTGGGGTATAGAGAAAGCACAAAAGTATTCAACTTGTGCTATGTGGAAGTGATTATAAAACTTCTGCTTGTTGGCCACTTTTGTTTTCTACTACCAAGAACTTGTATTTCTTTATTATTCTCTGGCAGAGTTTATTGCCATGTGAAACAGTGTCTTGAGGGCTGGTGACATGATTGGGCAAAAAAAGAATTTGCCAAGGGTCCAATCAGACAGAGTGAAAGTTAATCCAAATGTACTTCAAGAAAGGCAAGCTCTAAGAGAGGATGTAGGTTTGGGCATCTTAGCTTTACTGAGGGGATGGGGGATGTTTTAGTAACAGTGTAATAGTTAGCAGAGAAGCTACTTGGTCTTATCTTGTGAGTTGTGTGTAGGCATCCACTTGTGGGTGGGCTTTTTAGTATCTTAAGGAGTAAATATTATAGTGCTGTCTCTCTGTGTGTGAGAGTCCCCAAATATGTCCCAGCCCAGTTGCTAAAGTATGGGAACCTTGAGCCTTTTGTTCCATCATTCATGTAGTAGAGCAGTTTGGCCTTGTTTTTGCTATCTTCCTGTCTCAGCTTACCAAGGGCTGCAATTACAAGTGCACTAGTATTAGATTCTCAGTTACACAACCTACTACCAACAGCTATACAAATGAATGGAAAGGAACGGGGTGGGTATTTTGAGTAAAAGAAAAATTCCCCACTGAAAGAGATCTAACCCATCAAAATTTGGTTTTTATCGGAGGTACAATTATTCTGCTTGACAACACATGTTTGCTCCTTGCAACTAGGACGAGTCAGCTAGTGTTAAATCTTAAATATGGAAGAAGTATTTTCATAGTGTCTAATGCTTCTATGCTCAACCTAGCCACAGTAATTCCGAAGACTGATTCAGTGTAAACCCTTGCAGCTGAACTCCCACCGCCATATACCGCCATCGCCAGTCCAGGAGCCAGTGGCGTTCCTGTGATCAACTGTCGCGTGTGCCAGTCACTCATCAACTTGGATGGTAAACTTGACCAGCATGTGGTTAAGTGTACAGTTTGCAATGAAGCTACGGTAAGTGGAAACTTCCATTAAAAAGCCTAGCTCACTAATGGATGTCGTGTTTCTGGAGGAAATTATTCAGTAGTGTTATTTAAGTGCCAATGTGGGCTGGGAACAAATATGATGTCCAAGCTCACTTTTTTTCTGCCTGTCTTTCTTACGTAAGGATGCCTGTACATGTTTAGTATAACACCGTCATTTTTTTTTTTTCTTGGTTAGCTTAACTATAATATCCTTTGATTCTTTATAAATGGTAGGCATTTATATTTCTCTTTAGTAGCTGTCCAATTTATGTTTGTGCAAATCTACTGGGTTTTACTGCTTTACTGATCTTTATCTCTAATATATAGAAAACTATTTAATATCCATATAATGTCAGCATTCTTTTTCTTTGATTTTAAATTTATTATTACATTCTGTGTCAAACTGCTTATTTTCAAATAGCTTAGCATTTAATCCACTTGCTAGATATTAATGCAATGAAATTTTTAAGTAATTGAAGGACACTTAAAAAAAACTGATCTTTGTGACAAATAACTAAATCTTAGCAAATTTTTTTACAGTTTCAAATAGTACCTGGTAAGGGATGTACTACTTAGTTATCTCTGTTCTTGCTTGTATAGTTACACTTGAAAGTTTTTTCAGTCTCTTTTGGAATCTTTAGTTAAATATGAATTGAATTTTGATGTTTGTATTTTCTTCCTGTTTGGAATACTGTGAAGAAGTGATCATTGTCTGTAAGAACCACAAATCATAGACCCAGGGCTTCCAATGTTTGATAGACAATTTTAAACTAAAACTCTAATTCATAAAGCAATATATTTCATTGCAATTTTTTCTGTGCAAGAGAAAAAAATTAGAGAAGTTTGTCATGATTTGCAGTCATAACTACAAATCTAGCTGGTGTGTAAGTTGATCAATGACTAGTGAACTTAATTAGGATCATTTTCTATTGTGTTCTATGGAGACTTGGCAAGCAAATAAAAGTGATTTGACATAAATACTAATTTTATAAGGTAGAACTGAAATGCTTTCCTTGGATTTAATTATATCTTCTTCCATTCTGCTATCTCTATCCATGTGTTTGAAATGATGTCTGCCTTGGTTTGGGTTTTTATTGCTGTGAAGAGATACCATGACCATGGCAACTCTTAAAGAAAACATTTAATTTGGGGGCTTGTTTATAGTTCCGTTCATTATCATCATGACAGGGAACATGGAGGCATGTAGGCAGATGTAGTGCTGGAGAAACAGCTGAGTGTCCTACATCTTTCAGGCAACAGGAAATTGACTGATTGTCATACGATGAAGCTTGAGCAAAAGAGACCTCAAAGCCCACCCCTACAGTGACACACTTCCTCCAACAAGGCCACACCTCCTCATAGTGCCACTCCCTTTAGGGGTTATTTTCTTTCAAACCACCCAGTGTCTTTGTGTGTGTGTGTGTGTGTGTGTGTGTGTGTGTGTGTGTGTGTGTGTGTGGTACTTGTGCATGTGGAGGCCTGGAGGCCACAGGAAGATTTAGGATGTCTTCCTCTATTACTCTTGGCCTTTATTTTTAACGACAGGATCAGGATCTCTCACCGAAGTAGAGGTCCAACCTTTCAACTAGGCTGACTGTCCCTGCACCTTCCCTTGCTGGGGTTACAGGTGTCACGTCTATCCTTTTAAGTAGATGATGAATTCAGGTTCTCACACTTGCACAGCATGAAAAGCAGAAGCAGGTGGATCTCTGAGTTCCTATGAGCCCTCTCCCCAGAACCTTTAGGTACATCATCTTACTACATAGTTCAGACTGCCCCCGTGATCATCCTGCCTCAGCTCCTGGAAGGTTTGGAAGGTGATACAAGAATGTATCACCATGCCTGGCTTTTGTTAATGAATATGGACACGCGCGTGTGCGCATGGACCACACACACACACACACACACACACACACACACACACACACACACACGTTTTGAGGCTTTGTGTTTATTCTTTGGAAGTAAACAGAACCAAGTACGTTACTCATGCTGAAACCAAGTTTCTGAAGGTTCAACAAACAGGGTCAGTCAGTCAGTAATTCATTTGTACAGAATTTTTGCTATAAGAAAATGACTTTGGGGGCCTAAAGGAAATATGGCGATTCTTGTCATGATGTTTCCTCCAGGGAGTAAGGAAACTAAACAATATCGGGTACACTAGAGTAGGTAATTGCATGGAATCAGACTACCTTTTTCCTAGCTCTAACATTACAAAGGAGGTAATAGTGCCAAGGAAGTTTGGAGGAGTGCCTTGACGTGTGACTTGATAATGTCTCCCATGTAATTTGATCATAAGCTTTTCAGTGAATTGTTATGAGGCACCTGGGAGTGGCTTCAGAGAATTCTGGGTTGAAAATGTCAGAGACAATGGATGAAGTGGGCTCAGGTCCAACAGAGCTATTCCCTACATCACTGTCTGTCTCCTACAGTGATCCTTTCCCAAGCACCTGCAACGGGGCCTGGGAGCCTTAGGAACCTGGTAAATCTGTCGATTAAATGGCCTGGATCTGATTGTGGTCTGAGAGTCCGAGGCTGACAGACCGGACTTCGAATCCCTGTTTTCTCCTCAGTAACTGTATCATGGGGAACTTCAAATTTTAAACTGTAATTTCCTCATAGTAAAATAATACCAATTTGTAGGATTGTTGTGGAAACAGGAATAAAATGCCCAGCGTATTGATTAGCAAAGCAGTTTTTACTATTATTGTTCTTATTTGAGATAGGATCTCACTAGAGCTCTGGCTGTCCTGGAACTCGCTGTGTAGATCAGGATGGCCTGGATCTTACAGATATCCACCTGCTTCTGGCTTCTGAGTGCTAGGATTAAAGGCACATGTGACCATGCACAGCTAGGCAACTTTATTTTATCAAATAATAATTTTAAAACATGTGCTTGGGCTGGAGAAATGATTCAGAGGTTAAGAGTACTTGTTGCTCTTGCAAAGGACGTGGGTTCAGTTCCCAGTACCCCTTTGGCAAGTAACAGCAGTGTATTGTAACTACAGTATCAGAGAACCCGTTGCTCTTTTCTGGCCATAGGCACTGTACACATTTGATGCATACACAGACAGACAGACAGACAGACAGACAGACAGACAGACAGACAGACACACACACACACACACACACACACACATATAAACAAAAAAGTGCTGCCAGGCATGTCTTTACCCCTTCTCCCATGCAGACCAAATAGGAAATGATGAGGGCTGGCACTAAGGGCTAGTGCTCAAAGTCTAACTTAGTTGTCTTGTGCTAGAAGTGAAGGGAACTGATGTCTAGAAGTGAGAAAGCAATAAAATGTGTGCAAAAAATCCTATCCATTGTCAAACATACATTTATGTCACAGTAAATTTTGAATGGCCTAAATAAGCCCAAGTTCTGTTTTTCTGGGTGCTTTATATACTATAGATATGCATCTTTGATGTTTGTAAATGTTAGACATTCAGGTTGAGTTACCTGCAATATAATTTAATAAATTATAGATATTTTTTTTTACCAACATTTATGTATTTCCCTCACAGATATTTACTTGAAACATTTGGTATTCTTTTTTGTTTCTTAAAGGATAAAGTGTTAAATGGTATTATGGTATATATGGATGCTTCTCAGTTTTCCTGGGCTATGTAACAATATGTCCATAAGAAACGTTTGGCATACCCAGCGTATTGAGCATCCCCTGTGGCCAGCACAGGATGCTCATTGTGCCGTGTAGGGCGTTTCCCTGCTGATCAAGGGGCTAAGAGCTGTAGCTTGCTGCTGATGCCCAGGAACTTCTTCAGGGAACCTCATACTTCTTATTGCTGTCCCTGAAAAAAAAAAAAAAAAAAAAAAAAAAAAACCCTCAATATTCTAAGTATTCTAAGTATGTGTTACTGAACACAAATACAAATGCCTTTCTTAACATTACCAGATAACTGAAAAAGTGCAAATGGGACTATTGTAATTTAAGGACTCCCTGAAGATAAATGTGAAGCGTTTCCCCGATGCCCTTCACCCTTATTTTACAAATGTTAACATTATTCTATACATGCTTTTCTTTCTAAATAGGTTTTACTAGCACAAATTTATCAAATGCAGAAGATTAATGTTGACATTCTACTACTATTTCTTTTCAGTTTTATTTATTTACTTCTCTTTCTTCTTTTTTAAATGTGTATGAGAGTTTTGCTTGCTTGGGTGTCTGTGTGCCACATGTGTACAGTGCCTGTAGAGGCCAGAAGAGGGAGTCAGAGCCTCTAGAACTGGAATGTGTGTATGTGTGTGTGTATGTGTGTGTATGTGTGTGTGTATGTGTGTGTATGTGGGTGTATGTGTGTGTGTGTGTGTGTATGTGTGTGTGTGTATGTGTGTGTGGGTGTATGTGGGTGTATGTGTGTGTATGTGTGTGTATGTGGGTGTATGTGGGTGTATGTATGCGCACACATACACACACACTCCTCTCGTGCTCCTAACACTGACCATCTCCCCAGCTCAAGTTGTTTAATCTTATGCCCTAATTCCTGTTTCCCAAACTGCCTCATTAGTGTCTTCGGAAAGAAAATCTTCTACTTCAGAAGTAAAACTAGACTCGCATATTGCATATGGTTGCCATATCGCTTTAACATTCTCCTATCTGAACTTTGTTCTTTTTTGTCTTTTTATTGCTTTTACGTTTGATCAATACAGACAGGGTATTTTGTAGGCTGTGCCCTAGTTCAAGCTGTCTCTTGTTTCCCCATGCTTGGCTTCAGGTCATATGTTTTGGAAGGAATACCACAGAAGAGAGTTGTTCTTTTCAATGTGACTATTCAGTTTAGCAAGCTTCTGTTCTAATATTGCAAGGAGTGCTTTCTTCTCTGCTATTTATTCTCACTTTAAATATACTATAAATTAAAAAAAAACTATGCTACTATTTGGAACATTTGCAAACTTTTAAATTAGATATGCCATTAAAATGAATCCCTTCTATTCCATTGGGCAGTTGAAGAAAAGGTAAAATGAGCCCACTTTCCTCTAACGTTACTTTTGTTGAGGTTGGGCAGGTACGAACGATAGTACTGTGTATGTTTCTCCCTAAGTGGCAGGATATATGACCTTATCTTGTGAACTTCAAGGAGAAAACGGCCAGCATGCACTAACTATTCCTTCCCTAAAGCAAAGGTCAGCACAAACTCGCTTTGAAGTGGGTTCTTTGCAATCACATCCTTCCTCACAGCCCCTGAATGTCTGAGTGCTCGCCAACCAACATCTTCAGCATTTGAAGCCATGTGCTGTGCATATACTCTTTCTTAGACTTTACCTTGGTAACACTGTGGGGTCTTCCAGTTTAAAGTTATCATTTCCTCCTTAAACACACACAACTTGTGATAATTTGTATTTTGGTTGATTTCCTGTGTTTGCATTTTCTTCCATTATCTAGCCAATCAAAACCCCCCCAACAGGGAAGAAATATGTTAGATGCCCCTGTAATTGTCTCCTCATATGTAAGGACACATCTCGGCGAATAGGATGTCCGAGACCCAACTGGTAAGAGATGAAGATTCCTTCATTCATTCGTTTGCTCATTCGACAAGTGTTTATTAAGGCTCATTATGTGCTAGGCTTTGTTCCAGACAGTTTTTGTGCTCAGTCACTACAGAGCATAGATTTTTCTTGTTATCGTTGTTATAGAGATGGTAGACTTAGAACTTGGTAGTCAGAAGTGTTTGTAGATTTATAGGATATAATGTTGTGAATGGACAATGGATGGTTTCTTTTTCTTATGTGGGTATTTAATGAACTATAATAAACCAGGGCTCATTTAACTTACTTAAAAATAACTATTTAGCTTACCTTTGATATGATTAATTTTAATCCAGGAAACTTTTTTTTTTTATTGTTTATCTCCTTGCATGCTACATGAGTATCTTTGTAATATATAATAATGCCTCGAGTTGTTTGCCTATACCAAATGCCATTAAGCCTGTGCTGACATGCAAGTGTATAAACACCTTCACTGTTTTCTTTTCCTACAACTTCTCCAGCCTTTTGACCTTCAGATGCATCACCCGACGATAGACTGGAGAATAGAGAGGAAACATGGGCCTTTCTTTACTTTGGTTCCATCTCCTACTGAATAATTATCAGGGGATACTAGTTTTTTTTTTTTTTTTTTTTTTCAGAGAAATTTGGTTTGAGCTCAGCATTTGGTATTTAATGTGGAAAATATTTTGTGCAGTTTTTTTTTTTAAATAGATTTGTTTATTTATTTATTTATTTATTATGTATACAGTGTTCTGTTTGCATGTATCCCTGCAGGTCAGAAGAGGGCACCAGATCTCATTATGGATGGTTGTGAGCCACCATGTGGTTGCTGGGAACTGAACCTCAGGACCTCAGGACCTCTGGAAGAGCAATCAGTGCTCTTAACCTCTGAGCCATCTCTCCAGCCCCATGCATTCAGTCTTGAACCAAATTTAAGTTACCTGTGTACAATAAGAAAACAAAATGACCTTTCTGATTTGAAGTTATTAAACTTTCAAAATGGCAGTTAAATGGTTCCCAAGGTCATTGATTAGAGCTCATGTCATAATATGACTTATATTTGGAAAACATACTTTTGTTTTACTTTTGAAGGATTATTGATACTTTCTGTGATTTAGGGTCCAGAGTTTGGTAATTTACCTTACTGTACTGTTTCTGGCTATGTGTTCTGTTTGTGGGTTCATGAGTTTATTTGCCATTTCTTCCCACAGTCGACGCATAATTAATCTTGGTCCTGTAATGCTCATTTCTGAAGAACAACCTACTCAACCTGCATTGCCAATCCAGCCAGAAGGTACAAGAGTGGTGTGTGGGCACTGTGGAAACACATTTCTGGTAAGTAGCTGTACCTTGGTCACTAATCTGAAAATCTAGGTCATGATCTCATAGATTTGAGGATTGTTTATAATTGTATAGTTTTTATCCAAGTAGACATTGATCAAATGTTAAAATAGAGCCTTACTTATGAAGATGATGGGTTCAGAGTATAGCAGGCATCTATAACATCCTTTGTGCATTAGACAAAAGATGCATCTATTTTAACTCTGGGTATTTGTGAGTAAATAAATCTTAGCTGTCTCACCTTACTAATTGGCAAAGTACACATGTTCAACTTTTAGATGCAAGAATAATTCTTACTATGATTTATGAAAATTTTTCTGACTTTAGAAATTATACTTGGTGTCATGCACTGATGGAACATTCCTTTAATCCCAGCACTTGGGAGGTAGAGGGAGGTGGGATCTCTGTGGGTTTGAGGCCAGCCTGATCTACAGAATGATATTCAGGACAGCTCAGGCTTCACACAGACAAACCCTGTCTTGAAAAACAAAATAAAACAAAACAACAAAAACAAAAATTATTTTTGGAGAATAGGAAATTAATTTTGACACCTATGATTAGACAAACTGATAGAAGAAATTTTCCCATCCTGATAGCCACATCCCAAGGGAGACGTAATGTAAATTATAAATGTTCAGCCAATAGCTCAGGCTTATTACTACCTAACTCTTACATTTAAATTAATCCTTATTTCTTATCTATTCTCTGCCACATGGCTTGATACCTTTTGTCAGTATGGCACGTCTGTCTTGCTTCTTCCTATGTCTCCTTGTGACCTCTCTGACTCTGCCTTTCCTCAACCCATCACTCACAGTTTGGTTTTCCCACCTACCTTTATCCCATTCAGCTATTGGCCAGTCAACTTGTTTATTAAACCAATCACAGCAACAAACATATATTCACACCGTGTACAGAAGGATTATTCCACAGCAACAAACCATTGGACAAAAATCTTAAAGTACTTAATGTGAGCAAATCTGTAGAAGTTGTTTTAAATACTTCTAACTCCATGTCACTATTGATTTTCAAGGAATTAATTTTGTAATGGCTCACCCCATCTGGAAAGATTAAGAGGATTTCTATTGTTATTCAACACATTGTAGGGGAGAGAGTGATTTTAGTCTTGGTAAGGAAGTCTATCAATGCTGCCATGCAGTGAATGAACTTAGGAGGTGTGATGGGCCCTTTCACTTTTACGTATTTGTTGTATTAAAGCAATTTGTATGCATACGTTCTAAATGTCCAGTCAGGCTTGGGATCTCCTCATCTACCCGATTACTAGTTAGCATCCCTCAAATGTTTTCAACCCTTCCAGTTACTTGCCTGACAGTGGTTTTCTGTGTTTTAGCTTTTTCTTGTCAATTTTGGACCTTATTCACTATTTTATAAGATGCAACCTGAACGTTTATACTCACACCACCTTCTTTGTATTCCCACCCTCAATTCCTTCCCTTATTCCCAGTGGACTTACTGTGTGACTTCTTGTTTGCATGCTTTATGGGATTGGGCAATCATGTTCATAGCTAAGCCACATGATGTGGTAAATTTTCCCCACATGACTTTCAGCATATGGGTTGACCTGTAAATATTTGGCCCTCTGCTTTGGTTTCTTTAGTTTTCTATGTGTACATTCTTGGTTCTTTACATGGTGTTTTAGGTCTATACAATCTCTGTATCTAGTCACTTGTGGCTAGGCTCTCCTACTATAGCTGTCTGCTCCGCAGCTGTCCTCTTGGGGCCTTCTTTACCACCATCCTGAAAGGTCTTTTTCAATCAGCATCTCATGCTCCCTCATGAGATCGTTGACTTTGCCCTGAGAAGACACAAGAAGTAAACTTTATTTTCTTAGGTTGTTTTTAATCTAACATCACATTTGTATAGTGATTTCTTTAGATATGGAATTTGAGGTTTCCAGTTGTTCCTTTCAGAAAATTGTAGTCTTATTTTCATTGATAATGAGATTTTTTTTTGTTACTGTTTTAATTCCTTTCTATTTGACTATTCTTCTCTATTTCTCCTTATTTTTCTTTCTTTTCTTTACTTTTCCTCATTGATTTGAAATTTCATGAGGATGTGTCCCAGGGAGAATATTCCATGGGCCTTTAGATTTATTTCAAATGATCAAACTTAAGCTTAAATACTCAAGAGCCTTTCAAATTCTGTTCCCTTTGATGTAATCTCTTCCTCATGACATCGCTCAGAAAATACTAATGATGCTTTTTAGGAGCTGTTACTTTTCTCAGTGCTTTTTCTCTGCTTTGTTCTCATTTTTCTATTTGTGTTTCTTTCATAATAGAAAATTACTCAAATGTTTAAGTTCACCCATTGGACTGTACATGTAGATAGAGGCTAGGTGATTTTTTTTCCATTTTTCTCTGAAAATTAATCATTCATTAGTACTTGTAAATCTGTTAAGGGGCCAGTTTCCCTGGGGAAAGATTTTCTGATCTCCTGTCATAATATGACTTATATTTGAAAAACATATACTTTTGTTTTACTTTTGAAGGATTATTGATACTTTCTGTGATTTAGGGTCCAGAGTTTGGTAATTTACCTTACTGTACTGTTTCTGGCTGTGTGTTGGACCTGGGATCCAGCATTTTACGCACTGATAAAATACTTACCTCTTGTTCTGGCTGTAGACGTTAACTGCTTTATTCGTAGAATACTACTGCTTTCCTGGGATCACAGGCTTGACAGCTCAATTCCTTTTCAGAATAAACCACTCATCTCTTTCATGTGCTGAGTGAGGAATGCTTTTTACTTTGCAGTATGGAGGGAGAGTTTACAGGAACACTTTGGTATTTGGTTTTCAGTCTTGTGGTATAACCAACAACGAGAAATCATGTACTTAAGAAGTACGTCTCATGTTTATATACATGTGTACATTAAAATCATCGCACACAAACATTTAGATCAGTTGGTATATGCCCTTATTAGTGTAAGTATTGTAAAAACAACACTTCAACACATAACATCTGCTTTCTTCATAATTTCAAGAAGCTGAGACAGTTATTATTAGGTGTAATTCCGCAATAGACAGTTCCTAATTCTTCTTTGTCCTTCTTGTGCTACTGGAACAATGCTTGTCCTCTCTGCCTCTGTGGGTTTCACTGTTTGCAGTTCTGTGTATAGACATCATCACACAGTGTTACTCTTTCTGTGTCTGACTTGTTTTGTTTAACATACCATCCTCCACATTCGCTCATGTCGTCATACTGTGCTACAGTTGCCTTCTTTTTCCAGGCTGAATTATTTCATGTATGTCCCACTATTTCTTAATCTGTCAGTGAGTTTACAAGTTGCTTCTGCATTTTGGTCACTGTGACTAATGCTTCAGTGAGCATGGAAGTGTGATGCTCAATCTGTCAGTGAGTTTACAAGTTGCTTTTTCATATTGGTCACTGTGACTAATGCTTCAGTGAGCATGGAAGTGTGATGCTTATTGCTTTATTATACCCTCTACCATCCAACTTTGAAAGTAGTTCAAATACCTGAACTGCAATAGGATTCTTTGGTGGGAACCTGCTGGTGTTCGCTGGCATGCCTCTGCAGGGAGTTACTTTTCAGCATCTGGTTCACCAACTTACTTGCTAAGGTTTTGATTTCCTACGGCAGACAAATTAGAAGCCATTTGCCCTTGGTTTTGTTCTTGTTTTCATTACTGTATCTTACATCTTGAGATTCAGTTACTATCACTTTAGTTGTGATTGGAGAAGGAAATGGAAATTTATTCATTCATCTAATTTTGTGTCCATTTCATCATAATGAGTCAGATTTCTCTGATCTAGGATAAAATATAACTCCTTTCCTTGTGTCATATTTTATTGATAACAACCATGCTTAGATAAATTTTGGAATATACTTGGGATAAACCACAGATTTCTGTTTATAATTCCTTCATATTGACTTAGTACAAATTAGTATACTTCACAGATGTCAGGAGATATAAAGTAAGTTGACTTGGCTAAATGTATATTAAACACATTTGTTGTTCTTTGTCTCACACAAAGAAATGGTCTTTTGGATGTAGTATCATTTAAAACTTTAGATCAGACTTCCCAACTTACTCAAGAATTTCCTTCCAGGATGACTTTGCATTCCTTACATTATAGATTCCTAATCTTTGTAGCTACCCTACAAAAGAGCTAATGTAATCTACTAGGAAATATTGAGAGGGTATGTACCATGTGCTAGGCAAATCCCAAGGAAATCATAGGAAGCCATCTCTATTTTCATAGAGTTTTCTAAGCTAGTAGGGAGGGAAACACAATGAAGAATTGTGTGAAAAGATTTGCATGGTGGCAGATGCCTTTAATCCCAATAAAGGCAGGCAGATATCTGTGAATTGAAGTCTAGCCTGATCTACAAAGTGAGTTTCAGAGCTGTTCCACAGAGAAACCCTGTATGGAACAAAACAAACAAAACCAAAGACAACAAACAAGAATCATGTGGAATGTGTTTGGAAAAGAGCATGGGAATACATTGTGTTAATACAGAGATGAACCTAGCCTAAATTAAGGCACATGGCCTTATCCTAGGAATAATAGAAAACCAAAGAAGTGTGTTATGCAAGGTTGACAGGATGACCGAGCAGGTTAAGGGCACTTGCTGCCAAGCCTGCTACCCTAGTTCAATCTTAGGAAGCCACATGGTAGAAGGAAAGAGCCAGTTCCCACAAGTTGTCCTCTGACCCCTACAATGTTAGTGTGTAGTTGCGAGAGAAGTCACATTTTGTAGCTATCCAGTGGAAACCACTAGCTTTGTACTCAGAAACTCAGGTGGATAATTCCAAGGACTGCATGTGATTGTTCTTGAGCAAAATCTAAAGACCAACATTAAATGTCCTCTCTACTACATTATTAATAGCCTATCTAGAAATAAGCACACCATAACTTTCAACCCCAAGTGTACTATGTCTTCACAGGAGACAGGAATTTAATTTATGTTGCTTACAAAGTGATGAAGAGGGGCTGAAGAGGTGGCCCACTGGT